GGTGTGTATAATATTCAGAAGTCGGCCCATCATCAGTTTGCATAAACAATGATCTCATATGTAGGTAGCATTGGATCCAGCGGTACACTCGCCCTCCCAAACCAACTGACTCGAGGGCGTCAAGTATGGCTTCGTGAGAAACATTGTCATATGCTCCTTTGACATCTAAAAATAGTGCGACAGATAACCGTCTGCTCATTTTCTGGTGTTGTACGTAGGTCACCAGGTCAATGACATTGTCAATGGAGCTCCGAAGACGACGAAAACCGGCCATGGCGTCTGGATATATTCTATGGCGTTCTAGGAACCACTCGAGTCTGGCAAGGATCATTCGCTCCATCAGCTTCCCTACGCAACTAGCCAGCGCTATTGGGCGGTATGATGTCAGCTCTAGAGGCGATTTTCCAGGTTTGAGAAGTGCAACCAACCGGCTTGTTTTCCACTCTCTGGGGACCGTTCCATCTCTCCAAGACTCATTGAATACTTCCAGCAAAGCACTTCGTGCTCGATCACCGAGATTGTATAATAGGCGGTATGATATGCCATCCGGCCCAGGCGATGACGATCGATTGCATGAAGCAAGAGCCACATTCAGTTCTTCCATTGAAAAAGGCAGGTCCAGGTGCGGGTCAAGTGAATGTGGCGTGTAATCAGCAGTAAGGGCTTCTGTGCAATTTGGCGGGCCCGCAATCTTCCTACAAAAATCTTCCGCTACCTCTATATCCCTTCTATTTTGGAAAAGGGCCAAGGCTTTAAACGGAAAACGTTGTTGGGGAAATGTGCGTAGGCCTCGCACGGTTCGCCATATTTGAGAAAGCGGTTTGCGAGGGTCTAGACTCGCGCAAAATTTCGCCCACCGTTGAAACTCCAGTTTGTCTATACGACGCTGGATCTTCTTTTGCATGCGCCTGGCCATCCGTAGATCTTGAATGGATTTTGTGCGTCGATATCTACGCTCCGCACGCCGACGAATCGCACGGAGTCGCTCTAACTCCATGTCCGTTTCTGAGGGCCTTGAAGAATATGCCAGCGTGCGCATCGCACTCTGCGCTGCTTGTTTGATCGCTTGCTCAATGCCAGAGGTTAAGCCTTTTTCACAAGCGTGTTCAATGTTGGTTGTGAATGCTGAAAGATCGATCCTCCGTACGGTTTTCGGCGGGTGGTCGCTAGCAAAGCCTTCGATGGTGAGATAACTGGGGATGTGATCGCTACCATGTGTCTCGATGTCTAAAAACCACTTAACGCTTGTGGCGAAGCGACGTGACACGAACGTCAGGTCCAAACAGCTGCTGTACGTTGATCCTCGCAGAAATGTAGGGCTCCCATCATTAAGTAGAGACAGTTCATGAGTCGATACAAATGAAGCCAGCCTCCGGCCCGTGGTATTGACTTTTGAACTTCCCCAGATTGGGTGGTGGGCGTTGAAGTCCCCTATAATTATCCACGGATCCGGGACGCTCGAAAGAATGTCATCCAGTCTTTGGCAATCAAAACGGGCTGAGGGAGATAAGTAGACACCTATTAATGTGAAGGTGAGGGTTTTCTGCTTTACAGTCAGGCAAACATATTGGTTCTCATCATGAGGCGACACAGGTTGAATGATGTAAGTAAGCTCCCGACGAATATACACAATGACCTTGCTGTTTTCGTTTCGGGTTTTGGACGAGATTGATTCGTAGCCAGATAGCCTGATCGGGTTTGATAATTTCGGTTCACATATTACGATGATTGGGAAACGGTTAGAAAACACGTACTGACGAAAATCGGAAATCCGTGATCTAAGTCCTCTTGCGTTCCACTGGATGACTGATGCTTCTCTGACGTCTTTGCGGAACGATTGTTGATCTCCTGCCATGACTCTACGCGAGGGAGGCGAGGACTGGGCTCAGCGCGTCCAACACCTGTAACCCGCTTCGAGCGGTTGGAGTTCCCAGGCTTCTTAGTATGTCTGCCATGACAGCGACGAGGGATCGTAACATCGGGATGATCTGTCGATCGACCCTTGACACATCCTCAACGGAAGTAGACTCGGTGGAAGGTGTAGGGCGGCGAGGCCTCGCAGGAGGCTCCTTTGCAGGCTGTGTACGCGGAAGCGTAGGCCACTCATCCGCAGCTGTGCGCTTCTCCACTTCATTTCGCTTCGTGTTTACTACTTCACTCGTGCTCGGAGGAAATGGGTTATGCGCAACACTCTGTCCTACACGCCTCCGTCGGCGACTACGTCGCCGCCGTACCCTTTCAGCAGCCTCTCTGTGGGTTGAATTGTCCCTAACCATTTGTTTGATAATGGCGATTTCCTTCTTAATCCGAGGGCATTCCTTGGATGTAGCATCATGCGGACCATCACAGTTTCTGCACTTCAGACTTGTTGCCCGACATGCGTCTGCAGTGTGCGGCTCAGCGCATTGGGGGCATACTGTGGTGTTTGTACATACACTCTTGATGTGACCAATTTTCATGCAGTTATGGCACTGGAGTGGTTTAGGGACAAATGGTCGGACAGGATGTCGGAAGTGTCCCACTTTGACATGCGACGGAATGGAATCTCCTTTGAACATTATCTTTACACATCGGGTGTTTCCGAGGCGAAGTACATTCGCGATGAGAACTCCTTCGTTCGCTGGTTTTATGAGAGTTGGGAGGTCCGAGTTTGCTATGGCCAAATCAATGTCGTAGATTACTCCCGCCGTGCAGGCACCGTCCATTGGAATAACCGGTCGTACTTTGATGCCTCCCAAATCTGATACTCTGCGAAGCTTGTCTATGGCGTTGGCAGTCATTGTGTCCACAGCTAGAATATTCTTCCGCGTGTTCACCCGGATATCCTTAATGTCGTTTGGTGCTACCCCCTCAAAGTACATAGAGAGAGCTTGCCTGTTTACTGCTCGAAGGCTGATGGTGGAGTCCTCGGGCATGAAGAGGATGGTGTGCGGCCAGCATTCTCCTTTGACTGAGACGTTAATGTCCCTGCTGGTGAAGATGACTTGATACTTCTTCTTTTGGCCTTCCTGCTTCTTACGGTCTCGAAGTCGTCATCCGACGAGTCGTCGCCAGTGGCCGAGTACAGTTCCGTGTCCTCGCTGGTGCTCGAACAGGTGCTTCGTTTCCGCGACGAGCTTGCCAAAGGTGGTCTATGGTCGGACAGAGCCGCAGAAGGCTCCACGTCCACAGCCATGATGCAGTGACTATCACCGTTGGCCTCACTGGTTCTGGGCCAGGCGCGCTGATTTACCGAGGAGCTCGCCATAGCATACCTCTGGCTGGGCGGACCAGTGGATGACTCCGCGTCCGTCGCCTTGGGGCAGGGAGCAGCGTCTCCCGTAGAAAGCGAAAAACTTGATAACAATGCTCGGAGCCGAAAGCAGAAGCGTTCTATGAAGAGACACTTCGTCATATGCATGTATATATATTCATATAAGGGTATATATGTGTGTGCGTGCTCATATATATGCTGTGTTAATCTGTTTTGTACACTGATATAGACCAACGACTTGCCATGGTATACGCTAACAGTCCACCTCATTTTAATAATTACTTCTGTTTTGTCAACATTACTGAAAATAATTGATTTTTAAAAAGGTTGAACAATCACTGATTATCAATGACAGGAAAGCCTACAACTAAACTGTCGATGCATAGTTGTGACTGTAATTACAGCCCGCTTTCCCAGGAAACCACACTTATTGAGCGGCACAAGTACCGTGAAGCACAAGAGCTTGTTGAACCCTACTATATGTTAAAAGTCGGAAACAGCTGTGTCACCAAGGCCCCAGGCCCGTAGCATCACATCCAGAGAGAGTGGTTATCTTGATGTGCAAGAGTAGATTTCTTTCAGGTGTTTAAAGACATAATTGTGCTTTTGTTTCTGTATTCTTTCCACTTTCATACTATTCATGTTTTCAAGAAATCTTTCAGTTATTATTCTATTGTCCTGCTTTTCCTCGCTTTTTCAGTTTTTTTGCGAATTTTTTCGTAAATAAAATGCCCACTTGCCCAAGAGTATATTTCTAAATAACCATCAACCTCGCAGTCAACTCCCAGCTCATAACAGCAGCTCAGCTGTTATGACCGTCTCTTGAGAATGATATGCTATGCCCAGCAGCTGGTGTCTCAAAATAGGAGAGGGGAGGGAATGTTCTGGTCTTGACAACATCTTAGACCGTATAAAAAAGATTAGCTGAGTGTGGTAAAAGAACTGAAAGGCTTTTTCTGGCGCAAGCAAGCCGAGATGGCCATATACAGAAGACGGTTGCAGGTTCGGCAAGCTGTTAGGCATTTATTTTGAGGCATAGATCAACAGTAATGCATCTATAAAACGAAACGCATAGATAGGACTGCCTCCTAAATATCAAATATATCAAAAGTTTCAGGACGCAATGAAACTTATGCCCGTCTGTGTTCAACTGTAAACATGTTTCACAAAATTGAGGTATGTTGTCATAGATACTGTTGTTCTAAAGTTTAAGATATAGACATTCATATAGGACGTACCTATACTAAAGAAATAGTTGAGATGTCCTAGCCGATAATTCTTTCTCTGACGTGAATGACTCACAAACAAAGGCTCACACCAAAGCATATAAGATACTCGTGAAAATAGGTTCTATGTATTATGCATATAGTGTACGTCAAATTATTGATCATCTTTTAAGACCCTGTATACACACGTTCAGCACTGGTGTAGAAGGGGTGAGGAGTAGTTTGGGCAACTTCATCCCTCTCCCTTTGAAATTTCTACATTTGTGTATATACATGCATACACTTATGAAAACATGCACGAACATATTGATGGAGATGAAAATAACCATCCCTCCCTCTAAATGAAAAAATAAATGAAAAATTCGGTTGCTTCCTGAATTAGTGGAGTTTCTCATACACATAGCACTCCGAAAAGGCTGGGTCTTAACACCCCAGAAAGCACCATTTGTTGCTGCGAAACGTTCTTTTTACTGTATACGTAGTATTTCAGGTGCCCTGCACAGCCCACGTGGGGTACTTGCCAGTGTTGTGTCGGTAGTACTCAATGGCTCCCCTGACGCCGGTGAATCCCTCGCCCAGGCTCTCATTCAGGTGCACCAGAGAGCCGGCGGCCAACGCGTGGTCCTGCAAATTCTCGCCAACCGGAAGGTCCGCCACCACCGGGATCTGCAGAAGATGTACGAGCATACATGTGACACCGTGTTCATGTTCTAGCATTATCTAAGGTGGCAGAGTCCACAGTTACACATCGTTCGCATGTATTTTGCTGTCTTGAGTCATGCCGGCTATGAGAATGCTGGACGCGATAGTACTCTACTGTACAGGAAATATCCGGCCAGCGACGCCCTTCTTTGGAAAGAAATAGCGAAATTGTAGGTCGTCTGTAGACAACGGAATAAATTCGGCCTTGTTAGTACTCCATTACGTTTTTCAGGGACGAAGATTCTTATGGCGTGGGTCGTGCGTCTCCTGCAGTAGTAGCCACCGCTCGTTTCAGCCCTTGGAATGCCCGCTGAATGGCGGTACTTGTATATGATGATTATATGATGAAGTGATGCGAGATGGTGGTACTTGGAGTGTTCAGTTAATGTACTGACAGACGGATGGACGAATGGAACGTCATACAGACAGACGAATGCACAAACAGACAGCATGTGGACATACATACACACACACACATACATACATACATACATACATACATACATACATACATACACACATACACACATACACACACACATACATACATACATACATACATACATACATACATACATACATACATACATACATACATACATACATACATACATACATACATACATACATACATACATACATACATACATACATACATACATACATACATACATACATACATACATACATACATACATACATACATACATACATACATACATACATACATACATACATACATACATACATACATACATACATACTACATACATACATACATACATACATACATACATACATACATACATACATACATACATACATACATACATACATACATACATACATACATACATACATACATACATACATACATACATACATACATACATACATACATACATACATACATACATACATACATACATACATACATACATACATACATACATACATACATACATACATACATACATACATACATACATACATACATACATACATACATACATACATACATACATACATACATACATACATACATACATACATACATACATACATATGGACGGACGGACGGACGGACGCGGGCAGCGGATGATTTACGATTTGCCGATAAAACCCTTCGAAGCTTCGCCTCACTCATCACAATTCTCTCAATGAATATGCTTTGATTTTTTTTTTCATTGCGCTCAATATTGCCTAACCATCTGTAGAATCTACCAGGGCGGCCACCGATGCAAAGGTGCGGCTTCGTAAATTAAAGGAGATGTTGAAAGCAGCACATAACGAGTCGGTGGCGAGCTCATATTAGAGAGCACATAAAACTCAAAAGACGTAAGCAAAAAGGAGCAGGAAAGCAAGCAATAAATATGCACTCGTCGATAGAGCCGAATTTGCTTGACGGCCCGTGTATTTAGATTCAGAAGCCCGCTGAAGAGCCCGAGGTGATCAAAATCTTTCAGCCCTCCACTACGGCGTTCCTTATAATCACATCGTGGTTTCGGGATGGGAAACCCTGATTATATCTGCTGCATATCCACTTCTGCATGTTATGCTGTGTTTCTTTGTGTCCCTATATGACGGTGACTTGCAGGGCGTTACTAAATGAAAGCTTGTTCAACAAAGGATACGAGCGATATAATGGCAACTTTTATGCGGAAGAGGTAATACCACAGTCGTGCACTCATTTTATTAGCGGAGCATTTCTAGCTCGGCGTGAGATGTCTTTCATGACCTATATACCGTCACCATCATGAATGGACATACATGCCTGAGAAATTAGGTCAAATCCCCCGACTCATGGTTGGCCTAAAGAAGAAAGAAGCGGAAACACTAATTGCGATTTCTTGATGGACGCGATCAGTAATTGAGAAGAGCTTTAACAGACCACCGAGATTATTCCAGTAATAAACACAGTGGTCCCAGCTTCGTTCAAGCATCTGTGTCTAGTGGTCTGTACAACGACAGAATGTTAGGAGACGCCATGGGGCTGCGATAAACAGCGAAGTGAACGATGGCATGTCTGCAGATCAGAAGAGGAGCGAACACTCGGTTTCAGCTTCCGTCTCTGGACATTCGTGCATTGTCAGCGAGTGTCTGTGGTCTAACGCGAACCACTCTGCACTGAGAAGCAGCCTTAAAACAATTAAGCATAACTTAGCTAAAGACTAGAAACAAACTGATAGCACATGTCATACTTCAAAATTGTGCAGCTTCACTATTTCATGCCATGTGTCACTTAGCTCGAGATTCTCAATCTTTTTTTTTAAGTATCATAAGACATGAATTCGTAAGGTTGTTCTTTAGATGGTGAAACGTTTGAAAGCTGTAAATGCCCGAGAATAATCACCGAAAAGTAAATGACAGGGTGACCTAGAAGATTACCTACAAAGGAATGCACTTTCTGTTGCATTGGTAAAAGGGCAAGCAGCTCTCAATATCTCAAACAGCGCAAGATATTCGATGAAAATCATCACCATATCTACAACGAACTTTCTGAGTATGCGCAACAGAGTGGCCACCACATCCCTGGAGAGAATGATATCTTGACAGCTAAAGAAAGTAATGTTACAACGAGACAGCTACTGGAATCTCTGCCGACACAACGACACCAAACGCCGCTAAGTTAACAAGGAAAAGGCCCCTGAAACAGTTTTGATGATTTTTTACAAACACTAATGAGCCGGTAGACCAAGTCCCAAGGTTAATTTATAGACCGATTTGGGCTCTCTACATAAACTGTGTAATTTATTAGAACCCTGTGAAGCTTCGAATCGCTGCAGATCGCTGTGACTTGGCCAACTGCTTTTTCATCCGCTCATACACCAAGTGACACGCTCTGCCCTAGTGACGTCATCATTTCTAGCTGATCTGATTCGCTGTGGACCAAGCGTTGCACAGGCTGCCAGAATCAAATCAGTGGTGGGATTAATGCGTATGCGGTCTCACGCCACATCGTGACGCAGGCGCCTTGAAGGTAGAGCTTAGCCTCGAGCACTCGATCGAAGGAAGAGTTGAGGGCAGTTGAGCGTGAAAGGCGGAGTGGATGAGGAGGATACTTCTTTAGTAATCGCAACTTCGTTATTAGTGGGGGCTTCCATTGAAATCTGGTGTCATTGATTAGCTCCAGTAGTAGTCTAATCGAAAACGGAAAGTGAAAAAACCGTTTCAGGAACCCTTTGAAAAGCGTGGGCAGTGACGAGTGTGCATTTTGTAGTGGGTAGCTGGATTTCAAAGACACTAAAGAAGAAAACAATTTCTCGCGTATTAGTCAGGTACAATTTCACAATCCCAAAAACAGCATTTCTACCGTCACATGACGCTTGGTAAGCGAGAAAGTGCGCGAAAAAAAAAATACCTGAGCGTGAAGACACTGCCGTGAAATTCTTGCACTAAACGCCAACAAATAGTAAATTTGGGAATGTCTACTGGGTCCCGTATATCTTCTAATCAATAAAAATATACGGCATTGTCATCTGTGGGTGCCATATACCTAACCTACGAAGTTTCAGAAAATTTCATCGAGCCGATGCCGCGAAAATACAATAAGTATATAATTCAAAGTTTTTACGTCAGCGTGGAGGTTTCGGCGTGAATTTCAAAAAGGAAGCTTCAACCTTGTTTTTCTCTGTTGATAATCAACTTACGACACTAAAACTTGTGGTATTCGAATTCTCAGAGTGCAGTTTACCAACTTGAACAAAGTGAGTATTTCTCTTTAGTGTTCCTTTAAATCACGAAGCTGCTACGATAATCACACGTTCTGACGCCCGATGACAATATACGCTTGTACCACGCCATATAACTGCGATATTAGCTCGTGTATTGTGACACATGACGCATGTGTTTCTAAAGTGTGAAAGTTATGTTCACTGCATTTTCAAGCAGAAGCGTGCCAGCGTTGTAACACCTGCTTCCCTCGCAAACTGCCTGGGTTCGAGCCTCACTCAGGCCCGGAATTTTTTACTCTTTCTTTCATTTGTATGCTTATCGCTTTTTTCGTTCACGGACAAGATATTAATTTCTTGCTCAGAAATAATGACGCCAACATCGACACCAATGCCGACACCAACATTAACGGTGTAACGTGTGCGAAACGCGTTCAATAACGCTATCAACATAAAAAAAGCAGGGCTTGACTCAAGGAATGGGAGAGAAATACGGTGCGGAATATACAAAACTATGTAGGTCCTCCTAAAAGGTGAAGAAGGAAAGAGTTTGTCTATTGTGCAAAACTATGTTATAACAGCACAAATCTCGGATATAAACACCGAGTGTGGACAATTAAAAACATTAATACGTAGAAAAATAACGTTATGGAATTTTTTTCTATTTTGTGAATGGCCGAGCATTGGAAGACGCGAGTATGTATTCGAAAAAGCTGATAACTTCTCGATAATTTCTGGACAACTTTCGCTATATACTTTCAAGATTGATACAACATAGAAGTAAATGGTAGGATATGATGCCGTGAACTAGCTTCTAAAAAAATAACAGGTAAGCTTGGCTTCGTCGGCAGTAGTATGATGATGATAATAATAATAATCTAGCAGTGTTAGAACGAAATTCAAAGTCACTTCTAGTGAAATATCGGTTGCAAGTGCTAATTATTTGTATTTTTACTTGCTCGCTCAATGTTCTTACTGTTATATTCAACAACGACATTCTAAATTATTGATGCATACTCAACTTGAGGAAGACGTATTGCGGTGCACAATTTGTCGAAAGCTTTAAGTGAAGTGAATTCTTGAAAGATTTTACAAACGAAGCTGAAAGAATGAAGGGCCCGCGTGGCAGCATGCTTAGTTTGAGAAGAAAAACTTGATGTACTATCAAAAATAACACTCATACACCTTACATATGGAAACAATATTGACAGAGCATGTATAGCACAGAGGTTCGAGTACATTTACGCATTTGAAAGCGTGGAAGCTTTTTATTAACTTGATCAGGATCTGTAATTATCTTTCAAGGCTTGCAAACGTGTAGGAGCGAGGTGTTTCGGAGAATCAGCACCAGGGGTACCTCATGACACAAACCGGAACACTATAAAACTGCCTCTTAACAGCCTGCCACTTCGGCTCTAAAATAACAAATGGAGAAAAGCACGTTGCCAAGCGGTACGCTTACAGAGTGCATTAGCAGTCATCACCAGTGCTGCCGAACAGCAGCATCGCGTTGAAGTTTGACGTGATACAAGGTACGTAACTTTGATTCAATCACCATTTGCAGCCTTTGGCCGGAGCTGCCGTTAATGTACCATCGACGTACCTATTGCTAACACAGAGTAGGTTTCCACTCACCTTCATTTCTTCGAGGTGCTTCCGTGGGCCAACTCCGGACAGCATGAGCAGCTTGGGCGAATTTATGACCCCTGCAGAAATGATGATTTCCTTTGTGGCTCGAACGGTATGCTTCCGCTGGTCCTTTTTGAAGGTAACGGCCACCGCCCGCTTTCCCTCGAACAAGATCTGCACAGCGGGCGATACGTGAAGTATGGTGACTCCTGAATACTTAATAAATGCGCAGTGATCGCCTCTACCTAGAATACACTGCAGTTTAAGAGCGCCTTTTTAAGCGAGAAAAGAAGAGCCGTGTAAAGTTACCACGGCTAGCTGTTAGAGTTGTTCTAAGAGTATTTCGGGACTAAATGTGTCCATAACAAAATGCTAAACCTTCAGAAATGACCGACTGCGTGATTAAAAAAGAAACAAAGAAAGAAAAGCAGGAATCTGTAAAGAAGGGTTAAAGCTGCAGCTGACGTATTGGCAAGCGCAGTTGTTCTCTTTAGCGCTAAAACTGGTTTTCTGAATGCTTGCGCGAATGTGCTTCCCAACGTTTCTTATAAACTAAACAACGGAGGTAGCGACTGTGGGAGTGGCGCTCTTTCACGCGAACAGTGAACTGGCTGTCCATGAAACCTGAGGAGAGCAGCAGTGCTGTATGATAAAGAACATCGGGGGAAATAATGTTGCAAGTATCCGAGGGCCGGGGAAAATGTTCGAAATGCCTAACGTGAGAAATGAATGAGCAGACTCTGCTTTTATTGTTCTCAGATATAGGCATACGTCGGCAAAACTTCTACAAGTCACCGAGACGAACTCATGAAAGATATTTTGCGCTCAGAGCTCTCTCGGCCTCATCAAAACTTTCCTTGAGTCCAAACTAACTCGGACTCACATTCACCAAAATCTGTTCAGCCGGACGCACTCGTACTCACACTCGCCTAAATATTGACTTGCCCGTGCTCATGCACTGAGACTCAACACTCATGACTGGATCTGAGTCTGGGTGAGTTCAAGTAAGTCGGCTCATAAGCCCGTTAGCCAAGACCTAGCCTTTTGACTTTGCCTTCAATGCACCCCTCTACTTTCTTCACGTGTTTATACTGCATAATAAGACGACTGAGCCAGCCATATAAATAAGGTTGACACTTTTGCACGTTCCAAACGGTGGCGAAGCATTCTTGTTCAATGATGCTGTAGTTGTGTTCAGCAAAAGAAAGAGTACGGCTCGCGTAGGCCACTTGTTATTTGGAAGTGTGTTTGTGCTGCAACCAGACCATTTGCGTCAGTGTGTACGACAGTGGATGCCGCGTCATATAAATAGAGAAAGGCTGACCTTGACGTGACGGATTGCTTGATAGTCTGAAAAGCGGCTTTACAGTCATTCGACGAGAAAAATTCGCAGTCACAGTGATCCGACGAGGTTGTAGGTGCCGAGCTCGGGTCAGGCATTGTTTATGCTTTGCCCAGTTCATATGGGGACACAAAAGTAAAACACTGACTTGGTTTAAACTGACAAAGTGTTCCTCGGATCTTATTCATTTCCGCACAAGTATATGTATACAAGAAAAAACTGAGTTTCCTTTTACAATTTTGGATTGTTATCTCTGAACGTGGGATCACGAATTTCAAACAGTCTTCGTATTTTGGGGGACTGGCTTCTCAAAATATACTTAAATTGGTACGTCCGTAGGCATCTCACAGGACAATTTAGTTTATTTTTATACCATTTAGAGTATACGTAAGCGTCAGCAGATGCCATCATAATCCCGGTGGCTTCTGGAAAAAGGAGTTCAAACTTTCCGTAGACAAATATGCAATGCTCGATTAATGAACGAAATATCCGCGCGAATTTCTAGAAGGGTTTTCAATAGCAACACCTCTCACACTAACAGGCAGTAAATTTGCTTGGTGACATCCATCAATTGTTGCATCTTAATAACGAGCACTTTCCCTGTAAAAAAATTCAGCTTTAATTTTTCCGAGTGACTGTGCAGAGAAATTGGAGCAGGACTGAAGGGTGAATGGGGTACATAGTAGCACAAACTAAGAAAAGACAAATCAGAGAAAAGAAGTAGGAAGGAGAAGAAAGGTCAGACGCTGAGATCTTTCTACCGCCTTCTACTTCTTTTCTCTGATCTGTCTTTTCTTAGTTCGCGCTACTATAAGCCCCACTGAACCAACTCTCCCAGCAAAATTTCTTACTCTACGCAAGAGTGAAGACGCATGCCGAAATGGTGACGGAGAGCGGCGGTGAGTTGAGCGGAAAGTACGGGGTACGCCTTGGCTTCTGCATACAAAGGCACACGAAATACCACATGAGACGGGACGCGTGCGATGCCTGTTATTGATGCCAGTTCATCTTTGATAATGTCACGCAGATTAGGAAGACGAGAGCGGACAGTCGCAATGAAGCCGTGAAGTTTTTTTTGTGTGTGTGTGTGTGCAATGGTACAAGTAAGGGCTGGCAACTCATGTTCTCTGGTAAAGTGAGCGTCGCGAGAGGTCTGTGGAAGACTAATAAAAAGGAGGACATCAGGCGTGCTCTGTATAGGTTCAACGGTGTGTTGAACGATATTGCGACTGTAAAGGACGAGAACATTGAAGGCCATGGCATTGGTGTCTTTCAGTACGTGAAGGATACGATCGGCCTCCATCATGTCATTTTGGGCAAGGTGACATAGTGCCACAACGTCTTCTATATACGATGTATCTCATTTGTCTGGTCGTTGGATGCGGGAGGAGAGTTTCTTTTTCGTTACCTCAGGGTATTCTGAAGACGTGCGGAAAATCTGATTGAATTGCACCATGAATGTTTAATCAAGAAATCAACTTTCATGGTTGTAGAACTACGTTTAGCGACCTCCTTGAAATAACAAGGAACATGGCGCAGTTTGCGTGCCTCATCCTAATGATTACAAACACTTGTTCGGCCTTAATTCTTGAGCAACTTTTCGACATCATCCATGCCAAGGCTGGAAAATACCGGAGGGTCTTGTTGGATGCACAAACGGTGTAGTTAGCATCTGGCTGAGTATAAGTGGCAGTGGCTGTGATTTTGTTGTTTTACTCCGTCGCCGTTGCTAGTGGGCACAGTCGTCGACCAGACCATAGCTCCAGGTATGACCGGCAGAGCAACAGGACATGAGTAAATAAGCACACTTTACCACTTGTAATAATGAGACGACTTGTGGTGTGACTGCAGAAAGGTTATATTTGAATGCAGTCCCACATGGTAAATTAAAGGTTATACGATCGCTAGTATACAAGGACGAGTATGATGAACTTTCTAATCAGCGCTCACAGAATTTACACAAAATGAACAATATCACAAGACCCTCGAGCACGCATAAAAATACTGGATGATCAGCCCTTTTACACGAAAAAAAAATTGTATGCATGATCTCAAAGTACATCAGCACAGAGAGCCACTTGAACTTGATTACAATCCCTGAAGGCAACATTACTAAGCAACCACCTGTCAAATCCTGGATTATGTCTGTAATGTGTGATGTGTCTCTTCTTCCTTGTTTCCTTGTCTCCTTGCCCCCTCATTCCCCTCTGCCCCTGGCGTCGGGAAGCAAAATTGACGTAGCAAAATTAACCGCCCTACCGTTCTTTCATTCGTTTTCTCTCTCTGGATCGCGTTATTAGGATACGCTTGAAACAACGCCTTTATAATTTTTATGGCTTTTTGGCTTCAATATTTGCTGGTAATATTTTAAGATACCGTCAAACAACGCGGCAAGCCCTCGGAAATCACCCTTCTTCGTTCAAAGATCTTCTTGTGTCGTTAAAATTATCTTATTAGAATGCAGCACCGGCAATACCGACCTTTGTGGCCTTAGAGAAGATGGAAACGTGGAGATTCTTGCGCCCCTTCTTTCCATAGATGGGAAGCACAAAGGCCTTTGCCGTGGACCACCGCTCTTTGCCCCGAACAGTGAACTGGTTGGCCATGAAACCTGAGAAGAAAATCAATGTAGTATGATAAAGAAAGAACATCAGGGCAAATGATGTTGGAAGTATCCGAGGGCCGGGGGAAATCATCGTATTGCCTAACGTGAGAAATAAATGAGCAGGTTGTACCTTTATCACTCTCAGATGTAGGCATAGGTTGGCAAAACTTCTGAGGGCGCTCAGGTTAACTCACGAAATATTTTTTCCGCTTGGAGCTCTTTTGGACTCACCAAAACCTTCCTGAGTCTGATTTCACTCGGACTCACATTCACCAAAATTCTGTTTAACCGCACTCACTCGCACTCACACTCGCCTGAATGTTACTTACCCGTAGCCAGTGAGACTCAATACTCATGACTTGATCTGGGTCTGGGTAAGTTCAAGTGAGCAGAGTCGTGGGCCCCTTAGCCCAGAATTAGCTTTTTTACTTTGCCGTCAGTTCCTTTACCATTATTATATATCACGTGATCGGTGCTCTTCATGGCACTGTTCGATAAATTATATAGTTATGAGTGGTTGCCAACTTGTAAAAAATTTTTTTCGAAAGAGATAACAAGAGCCATATTATCGAGAGTTTCCATGGAGTTGTTTGCGCGGGTAGGGGCAGGGGGTGGGTTCGTGGCACTCGTAACGTAATTTACATATTTGAACAACAAATATTGAAATGGTCAATAAACGATACTACGGGTATAAACATGAACACAAGTAAGAATGGTTGTATTTGCTGAAAATGAGTAGATAGGGCTCTAAGTCGGCAAAAAAAGCGAAGTTAGCTCGGACTCACTCAAGAATTATATCTTGCGCTTTCAACTCTCGGACTCCAACTCAATAAACTTTTCCTGAGCCGGACTATCACTCACAAACATTTTCCTGAACCGTACTCAGTTAGACTCAAACTCGGCAAAATAACACTCACCCGGATTCACTGAAACTCAGGCTCAAGACTAGATCTGAGTCTGAATGAGTCGACTCATGAATGAGTCCACCGACCTATGAATACAGTGCATTGTTATAAACGCGTTACCTTCAGTATTAAACCATAAAGAAAACGGCTTACTGCAGTGGCGGCTTAATGCAGTGGCACACTTAATAATGTCAAACTCGTGACGTTTATTTCAAGTGCGGGCAACTGCTAACTATGTCTTGAAACTGGAATACCGACGCGTTGACAATTTGAGAAATAATGTGTGGATATTTCAGAACCCTTTTGTTTTGAAAGAACGCCTTTGTTAGGTGTTCACTCTGCATTTTTTATTTCCGTTAACGAGGACTCTTGACATATGTATGGCTGTTCTTTTGTTTTATTCGTGTTTATTCTTAGATTCCAATGGCACCTTTTTTTCATTTCTTATATATAATGACTTTTACAAGCACAGCACTAAGACTGCATGCTATTTTATATCGGGTGTTCAAAGTGAGGCTTTCAGGTTGTTGTTTTTTTCATTCAGCTCTGGGAAAAACTTTGAAAACACCTTTGGACACAACCTATATGTCCAGTCAGACAAAGGTAGACAACAAATGCATCTGGCAGTGTTTCAACTACCTAAGAGGTAATAATTAACTTTTCAGTTACTGCAGCAAGCATACATACTCATATTAAAAAATTGGAGGCAGCCGTATTTATCCCCAGTTACTCTTGGAAGAATTACTCAAGCATGTCTGTGCTCCTAGATATTCTGCGGCAAAGTTTAATTGTGGTTTGCATGATTATGCATGAAAGATGGTGAATATGGGTGCAATGTTCCTCCCCGATATTACAAACAGTCATAGCTTCTTATCGCGAGTCGGTCCACTGCTCTGTGTTTATTAATGTTCTTGGCGCTTTTTGGCCAACATTGGCTCTTGTGCCATAAAAACCCACACATTATCATCCTCGCGAGTCGGTAGTAAAAGGGGAGCAGTTATCATCTCTGCATATGCCTTCCATCCTTTGTCAGGTTAAACAACGTACGCAACTGCGCGCTTCCCATCGGGTAGAAGCTTTGCGCCAGTGCTGAGTGTCTTGCACGCGTAATCATGCAAACTGCAATAAAACTTTGCCACGGGATATCTCGGAGGACAGACTTGCTAGAATAATTCTTCCAATTGTAACTGGGCAGATATGCGACTGCCTCCAACTTGTCAATACCAATATGCAGACTTGCTCCAGTCACTGAAAACTTCATTATAAACATTTTTTTTTAAAAATCACTGACAGCCAAACTTAATATCTCAGTTTGTGTACCTCTTGATGCATTAGTTATCTACAAAGGGGCATGGTTGTTATGTTCTTCCTAGTACTGAACTTTCAGAAAATCATAAAGCCTAGCTTTGAACGCCCGGTATAGCAAGCTGGATTATTATGCTTCAAATTTGTTTTCATAGGTGTTGATGAGCGGGTTTTAATACTGCGTACGTAGTGTGCGTGATAGCCTTGTGTACGTGAGACGGACGCATTTCGTTTAGAGCATATTCACAGATATTCGTACTACTGCCTTCTGGCCCCCAGAGTGCACGCACAGACGCCACAAATATTCACGTCAGTGATGCACGCCGTGGCCTTTGCAGTAATTTCCCAGAGTTGTTCCTGAGTTATCAAAGACTTCAGAGCCCAACCTGTACAGTAATTTTAGCCCGCATGCGTTAATACTCTGCGTCTTTGAAAACAGAGGCTTTCTTTTTAGCACATACGTGCAGTCTTCCTGCGAATGCACATCGAGAAGAAAATAATCAGTTTTCCTCCAGCGCCTGCAATACAGACTACTTCATCAGGAAGCTATTTATCATTCTTTTACTCTTTTACTGCAATGCAGTACTCTTTTGCAATATCCTGGAGGGAAAACTGTCAAAGTACATTCATTGATTGATTGATTTGTGGGGTTTAACGTCCCAAAACCAACATATGATTATGAGAGACGCCGTAGTGGAGGGCTCCGGAAATTTCGACCACCTGGGGTTCTTTAACGTGCGCCCAAATCTGAGCACATGGGCCTACAACATTTCCGCCTCCATCGGAAATGCAGCCGCCGCAGCCGGGAATCGAACCCGCGACCTTTCAAAGTACATTCAAATTAACTCCATGCAATATCACGCACATTCACGCACCAATCATTTACCCTTTGTTTTCATCTTTCGTTTTGCCCTGCCTGACCTCTGCTGAGGAAGAGTTATACAGAGCATTTTCTTTGTGAATAATTTTTGTGCACAAAGAACTTTTACACCCACGAAGCCACATTGGATATATGTACCTTAGGGCTACAACATACTAGAGAAACATCTATAATAACAACCTTACACAGACTGGGCCTCCAATGCGCTAAAGCACACTAGAGGCCCAGTCTATTTAAAGATGTCATGTGATGTGATCCAGCTCGCATAACAATATCTTGAGTTCTATCGAGCCAGACCCTTGATATGGATATTAGACTCACCATAATGAAAGCCTCCGAAAGTTTTGACCATCTCGTATTTTTAATGCACTCACATCTCACAGTACACGAGCCTCCAGCATTGCACCTACATTTAAACGAAACCGTGGCGGCAGGAATCAAAGCCTAAACTTACTTGTATTTCGTGATATGCTTGTGTGAACAACTGTTTCTGATGTGTACATATTGGTTGTGAACAAATGTTTCAAATGCCTGCAGTTATTCGTGCTGTTTTTGTTTTCTCCAAACAGTGACAATAGTTTCTTCTTAAAATTTCACAGTGTTGTTGCGTATGCTGACATGTAGGGGTGGCGAGGCTCGTCAAGCAGTCGTGAATGACTGCTTTTTCTTGCCATCGTCAGTTTTTTTTTGCTGTAAAAACTGGAATAGATTGATTGATTGATTGATTGATTGATTGATTGATTGATTGATTGATTGATTGATTGATTGATTGATTGATTGATTGATTGACTGACTGACTGACTGACTGACTGTCGAGTCAGCTGTCGAGCACCGTGAGAGCGGGGCGAACCATCACTTTTGTATTCAAGCACTCAACACAGACTAAAAATAATGCTAGCAATGCTTAAAATTGAGTTTAAATGCAAGGCAAAGGTCTAAAATATAGTAAATGAAAGCAACATTTTTGAAGTAGACTGTAGATCACAGTTAAGTTTGCTTAAAATTTTTTAAATTGCCTGAATGAACTCAAGTGATACACTTGTCAGACAACATCTCGCTGGTCTCTGAAAAACATGGGTTTCTGAAGATTTATCTAGCAGAACACAATTATTTGAATAAGAATTATCATAACTTAATATGCAACTTAGAAAACGCCGGACAAAGACGTTGTCTTTTCCTGTACTTCGAAAATGTTTTTGACACCATTTCACAATCTTTACTCTTAGGTAAACTTGCAGTGCTAAGCAGTGACTGCACGAGTGTAGTATGAATAAAAAGTTGTCTTTAAAACCATGGAATCAGCGCGGTATTCAATAGCGAGAAATAAATTTTTGTGCACATGACATCAGAGGTGCCACAGGGCTCAGTCGTCTGGCCACTTTTATTTTTAATATGTATTATTGACATTTGCTCACGAATTGACTATAATATACGTTTGTTTGTACATGACTGAGTTTTGTACAGATGAATTGAAACTGAATGTATGCCGATTTGCTACAAATGATCGTGTCACGTGTTGACGAATAGTGCTAAAGATAGTAAGTGCAACTTCAAGTTCAAAAAAAGGCGTTATAGTTACACTCACACATAAAAAAGGAAACAGGTTGACCTGCCAGTACGCTCTCAGCAATAGTTTGGTATTACAAAACACACAGTATAAACACCTAGGTGCACTTATTAGCCGAATACTCATGAAATACTCATGTTAATTCAGTGGTTGCGAAGGCCACCAATGTTACACAGCGAATGCTTAGACAAATGCTCCGGCATGGTTGAAATTAATGACTTGTGTAGCAAATAATGATCCTATGCATGATTGTGGTTGCACCGTGTTGGACCCTTGGTAAATTACTTTAGGTAAAAAGCTTCAAAAAATCTAGAACAGCGTTGTAAGCTTTGTCCTAAGCAGTTACTCAATAAATGATCGTTGTATCAATAATAAGTATTGACTAGGATGGAAATCACTTTCATGGCGTTGAACGAAACTGTGGTTATTGATTGTATACGAAATATTTAATAATAAAACCGTCATTCGAAAAGAAATGTGCCTTTAGACTCTTCATATGTCTTTTCCCGGAATGGCCATTGTTTCAAGATTTTAGAATATCGTACCAGATCGAGGTGGTATGCCAATTCATTTTTGTTTGTTCGTTCTCTCACCTAATGGAATCACCCAACAAGTGTAACAAGTGTGCTGAAGGAATGAAGAATTGTTTTTTCTCACATCCTAACCACCTCCGAGGTTTGCAGTGCGTTCAGGCTCAGCGGGGTAATCATTGAATAAAAAAATGGGGGGCGGGAGGGGGCGATTTTCGAACACACGCGCCTAATGCTAGCACCCTGCAAGAGAGGGCGCAACTGCCTCGCAAAGTGTTCCTCCCACCGGCTCCGTGAACGGGAAATCTACCTGAGGAAACTCGTTGCATACAAAACGTATCTCAACTGATGCCATAAAAAGCAGGAAGTCCGTGAAGCGCGGCATAAGGCAACGCACATGGTACACACCGAGTTTGTGGATCTGCTCCTAACAAGGTTCTATTGGCGTCATGGATGTTTCACGAGAAGGAGTGCAAGCTAAGCCAAAGGAAATAATAGGCAGGTATAAGTTACCGGGCTTAGATGGTCAGCGAGATCGAAGTGTGCAGCGAGATACCAGGATCGAAGTGCGCATGCGTTACTGGTACCGCTTACCATACGCGCGCTATTTTTCAGATTTAACGTTACTGCGTTCGCGTGGTGTACGTAGTGTACATAAACATGGGGGCGCTTTCAGATGCCCTCTTCGTATTGGTTCTTGCGTAGTTTTTAAAAGATTCACTCCGTTCGCCGGAAACTACTGTTTAAAGTTGCCTCGCTTACCCTCTGCTAACTTTCATGACCGAGTATTACGAATAAGCTAGCGTAATTTATAAGATAGCTTCCCATTTCGAACGTGTTTAGGCTAACTAGAAGATCGATGTTGACAAATCGGCAACAGATAGGTTTTCGCAGTTTTGTGCGTCGCCGATACTTTTTTACTTTTATTATTACTAAAATAAACTTGTAGCAATGCTTCACGCGGTATCACGCCTAAGCATTCTCGTTTTCTTTTCTTTTTCACTGTTCCCTAACTTATCAACCCTTCAACAGGTGGCGCCGCCATTCCAGCTGGGGCACGTAAGCCACGTAAACACCGTCCCCCTTAACTATAGGACGTTGTTCGCAACGAAACGCTTGCTGCACGGTAACACCAATCTCTTCACCCCTGCTATCACGCTAACGATAAACTATAACTATCTAATAGCTAGGTGCCCGTGCTACGCACTTGAATTTAGCTGCATTTAGTACAGGAGTTAGAACTACTTCAATCGCTACCCAAGCACATTGTTCATTCGCTCGATGGCGTATTAATGTCCACTATAGAAGGCAGAATTCATCAACGTCTCGTCGTTCATGCCTAGAGTAGCGCTCATGATTTTAATGTGATGGATGGAAAGCCTACTTCGTGCTCTTGACTGTCGTCACAATCAAATATAAAAGCTGCAGATCAGTGCTCCGACGTCGTGACGTTATGATCTTTTGGACTTCTCGCAACTAGAATCATAGTTATTAACACCTAATTTGCCATCTTTTGGTCCTCTTGCTCCATTCCCCACCAAGTACTGGGTATCCAGCCAGCCTGAGAACTAAGTGAACTCCCTGTTCTTCCCCTTTATTTTCTTCCTCTTCCTTCTAGTTACTTAGTTAATCGACAACCAAGTATGGCCCAAGTAGAGTGTGCATGGTTTGCACAACCTTTGCACCAATGTAACAAAAAAAAGGGGGGGGGGGGGGTATTAATACCCTTGATAGCAACAGATGTGCACGATTGCAGCCCTCAATTATTCATTAGCCTCACTGAAGCCTAATCAGTAGCAACGTTCAAAGGAGTCTTTTTGATTAATTTATTTTGTTTCTGGACACGCTTCGGGGTCACTATAAAACTGTTCCCTTCAGCACCTTGCATCGCAAAAAGGAGGTCAATATGAAGTAAACAATATTAAAGCTTTGTTTGCTTTTTCGTAGCTCACCCGTTTGTCGAGCTCCGTTGTGGTCGTTGACCTCGTAGCCAAGCTCCTTGCCAGCTTTGAGGAAGGCGTGCAGCGCTGGCGTCTGAAACTTTGTCGAACTGACGGTGAGCTCCCCGCCGTAGCCGTGGTAGCCTGCAGTAACGAAGAATACCTCGAAATGTTAAACTAGGCCTCTCTGTCAATTGAGTAGTCAGCAGTGTTGTGTAGGAGACCATAAAAAGAGTAGCTAAATATGTTACTCGTTACGCTGACTGTAAAGGAGCCCGTTGCACCACAACAAAGTTAATGCGCTTTCATTGTCATTACCGAATGAAAAGTAACGAATATTACCTCTGCCTTTGACTTCATAATGAGACATTTCAATCATGGTATATTCACTGCATAAATTCACATTATTACCTTTATAAAAACCCAAAGCGCGGACTTAACTAGAATAAAATTGCCAGGTGTGCCATACGTTGAAAATACAACATGCAGGAGGTATTCACTGTATTCTTCCCGCTAGGCGCCATCAGTGATGCGCTGTCATGATCAAATCGTGTCAATACAAATACCAAGAAATATTGAAGGGAAGTGAACACAAGTACCTCGGAGTAAATATGAAAAACAATACCTGAAGATACAGGTATAAAGGCTTAGGGGCATAAAGAAGCACAGAGCATGGAGACAATAAAATAAATACGATGTGTTTTGGGTTTGTTGAAAGGTCTAATGGTTTTAGGGCTTACATTTCAGAGTGCACTGGCGTGCGTAAGTTTAACAGTGCAATTAGGGATGTAAGGATGGAAAGGACTGTGGGACGCCTCCCGTTGGGCGCCTACGGGAACACGACCGTTGAGGATATGAAGGGTGATGTGCGATGGACAAGTTTTTATGCGTGGGAAGCTCAGAGTAGAATATGGTTCAAAGAGAAGCTAATTAATATGAAAGAGAGCAGAGGTGCTTTGTTTTTTCAAGAGGAAGAGCGTTGACACACATAGAATGAAAAAACGTGAAGCTTCACCCCATGATATACGGCTGTAGGTGACAGAGTAGCTAAGTGCGTGACGTGGAAAGTCAGAGAAGCAAAGAGGATTCACTTCCAGCGATGGAGAAAAACTTACTCAGATGAACCAAAAGGGCAAAAATAAAGCGAGGCACTTCGTTATAATCAAATGAAAAGCAATTTACTGTTTGAAGCGAGATCATGTTGTCTTAGAAGGCGATGTTATGAAGCAAGATCCAGAAAAAAGGTGAACACTACATATGTTGTGGGCAAGACAAGGGAACGATGGAGCATGTTTTGATTTTGTAAGACAGATGCTCGGGCTAGTTGGTGACTTGGAAAGAGCACTGACTTCAACCGGTGGTAGATCCAGCCACTAACATTTTTAGGGGCGGGGTCACCTTAAGTAACATTGGAGAGGAAGGCGTGGTCATGACTATTTGTTTTTACTATCAGAAAATCCTCTTCATAGTAGTTCCACTCGCTTGTCCTAATTGGCGATAAAAGATTGACTACAAGGACTGAAATTAGTGGGGGGAGGTGCTAACAGAGATTTGAGAGTGGGAGGCGATTACCCCCCCCCCCCTTTGGATCCGCCATTGACTTCAAGTGAGTTGAAGGCAGCACTCTTTCCTGCTCATATCTCTTCCTTTCGTAGTTACGCCGTGACAACTCATTGTCTTGCATTGTGCGAATACGTTGATGTTTTAGTTGTATCTAGATATATCCACCCAGTTGTACGTTTGGGCTTTAGCGCCAACAATGTACAGCTGGAAACGTCCCTGATAGAACTAATTCAGAGATAGTTCGGGTTTTGGTGGCAGTGCCTAGATAGAAACTACTGAAATCGGGGGAATCTTGCGCTTCACATGTAAGAGTTGAACGCGATAGCAATATTCTGTCCCAAGCACGTACTTGAACTACTTAGTTCGTACTTTTTATTGTACGATGTAGCTACAGAAGTTTAAACTCTAGAGGACTACAATGTATTTACCAAGTTTGGTATTCTTTTGCGTGACTGAAGCTTTCAGATAAGATGTTTCCAATCTTGCTATGCATCCTCTGCATACTCCTAAGGGAATTGGTGCTGTAACATCTCTGCTTGTTGTAATGAGGGATTGGCTTTGAAACACGAAGTCTTTACGATAACCAAACGTTCTCATGCTCTATGGTAATGTATGTTTGAGCCATGCAGTATTAGTGCAATAATACATCTTGCATTGTGAACCATGTATGTGTTTGTTAAGCAAGTCATTTGCAACGCACATCTAAGCAGACGAAGTTATTATCACTGTATTTTCAAGTGGACGCGTGGTTGTATAGCAGAACACCTGTTTGCCACGCAGACGGCCTGGGTTCAGTCTTTACTGGGACATGAAAAATTTTGTTCTTTACCTTGTTTGTGTATATCTCCAGTTTTGGGTTCCTCTGCAGTCACTAACAAGATTATGATTTTTTGCTCACAACGAAAGACGCCGACGCCAGTGCCGGAAAATCTGTGTCTTTAATGGTGTTGCGTTAAATAGAAAAAATTGAAGAACCCGTGACCTTTACCTCTAGGAACTGACCGCAACAGCAATATCCAGTCCCTACTGCATACTGCAACCACTTAGAGAATAATTATTGTTGTATGACGTTACGCGAGATATTGAAGCGTTTGGTTACCACAATGTAATTGATAAAGCTGAAACTGACTTGTACGAGTGATCCTTTCGCATATAGCTGCATTTTGTGTAATGGGTAGCATGCTTTAAACTCCGGGAAATCGTGATATGTTTTCAACTTTTCATGCACCCACGACGTTGTCTGAAGAAAATAAGCGCAGTAATGTATGTGGCCTTTGTAATGAGTCCACGGCATTAAGCCATGTACTTTTTCAGATATTCTCGTCATCGGACGCCTCATCGCTTGTACTACGCAATATTTTGGCGATATTACATGTTGTGATGTGACGCCCCCTTACAGGCAACGTGTGTTTAAATAGGAAGTTATTTTCACTGTATTTTCAAGCAGATGCTTGGCTATGTGGTAGACACCTGCTTGCCATGCAAGCGGCCTGGCTTGGGACTTCAAAATTGTAATTATATACTTTTATATTATTTGCATCTTTCTCGATTTTTCCGTCACGGACAAGATGATGATTTTTCGCTCGCAGCACTACTCAAGTCGACACCGATGCCGAAATTTTACGAAATGGGCTCTAACGCTATCATATGAATAATTTGTAAAATAACGACATATTGCAGTTAAAGTCAATGAACTGGACTGTGAATTAGCGTTTTTTTCTTTTTTATTAACAAAATAGATTTAATCGAAGTCGACAGATAATTAATTAGGCGAGCTTAAAAAAGTGGTAAAAATTTTTGCTTTTTTGTTTTTAGATCAGTCGAGTCTATAGTTGCGCCCATGTCAACACCCCCTTATAAAGGGCTCAATGATAGCAGCCATCTATCCATTCATCGTCGTGGTCATTCAGTGATGCAGCTAGTGGTAGTCTCACATTTCGTGGCCCTGCACGCCACTACGCTGCTTTATCAGAAAACCAACAGAAAACCAATGCGCAAGGGCCCATCGTCTACAGTTCACTGTCACGGTATGGTTGCAAGATCACTCAGTAACTGACAGAATGGCGAACATAAAAGCACGAACAGAGCCCACGGAGTTGGGTATGGAGGGGGTACCACAAGTACCCCAGTAAAAGAAATTTACTGTGAGCACCTTCTTCTGCCAGACTTCTGTTGGTGTTGTCCTCCGACTTCTTGAAGTACGGCAGCACTTCGTCGTAGGACCATCCCGTGGCGCCTCCTTTGGCCCAGTTGTCGTAGTCACGTCGGTTGCCCCGGTTGTAGATCATATAGTTGAGCACGCTGCCGCCTCCCAACACCTTGCCCTGAATCCACAAGTCTCTCTGCAATAAGAATTTTGATAAGGAAGTTTTGCGCGTTCACTGAAAGAAGTGGAAGGGACAATGCGAGCAAACCCCCAACCACACGCATATATATATATATATATATATATATATATATATATATATATATATATATATATATATATATATATATATATATATATATATATATATATATATATATATATATATACAGTTCCATTCCAATTTCCCCTTAAAAAGCCCATTCAGAGAGTGGTGCGTAAGGTGGCAACTCGAAGCTTCAGTCACTTTACCCTACGTTTCTGTCACCTCCATCCAGGGTCATTTCATTTCTTTTGTTTACTCTCCATGGAGCAATTGCCGGACCCCCTAATTAAATGTACTCTCACGCGTAATCATAGTAGCTATTGCGAAAGAAGGAGTTTCACATGACGTCATAATACCTCGTCCCCTGCGAATGTTGTATTCTTCAGAGTGAATAGAAGAGTCCTCAAACTTCTCAGCAAATAAAGGTAATTTCTCAATACTCGTGATGGTCGAGAAGAATTGCACTTGAAAGGTCACAACGCTTGCACCGTCAACCACGCAAAATCGCTTTCAACTTCTTTCGTACAAATAATGCCGCGTGCACTCTGGAAGACAATGTGTATTAGTAAGTCACGTGTTGTAGCAAATATTTGTAATTTTATAATCGCAGCATTCTACAAGTACTCAGGAGGTTATTTTTACTTGTTTTTTTTATTTATAGTCACGGTGAAAGACAGGAAAGCTGCAAAGAATAGTACAGCAGCGCACGACCGGTGGAAATGACCTATCACGTTCACAGATTATGGAGCTTCCGAAATAAACTCTGCTTTAAGGGAAAAGTATGGCCCTTTTCACAGCTGGAGCATAATTAGGCTCGATTCCCACCCTCAATGAGGGGAAAATGTGCGGTTTAGCGAGCTACTTGTTTTTGCTTCTTGGATTTTACTCTAAGCAATTTTATACAGGGCCAAGCGCTTTGATCTTTACTTAGGACTTCGTACGATAAGAAAACACAAACTTTCTGTAAATGTATCCACAGTGAATGTGAATAACGAAGTTTTGGGCCTTTTCCCCACAACCACTGGCCGTGTTATTTCAGCATACTTTGGTGTTGCGAGCCTGTGAAATACTGGAAAATCTCGTACAACAATAAATCATGAGTCATTTTTTGATAATGAGTCGCATATAATGGCTATAACGAATGATACATCAAACGCAAAAAGAGACACCACTTTTGATAATTAGTACATCGTTTCTCCACTTACATAGACAAAACCAACTGAGCTTGTAAGGGCGTTAGTAGAAGTTTTTTTTTTTTCAGAGTTTCAATGGTGTGATTTTACCGAGTCCTCTAAACGACTTATTGCAGTACAGTTTCTTTTACGCAATGTATTCTTCAGCTGAACACCTTGAGCTAATCGTCACATTAGTATTTTATTCGCTAAAACTCGACACCACCCCAATCCTTATTCCGATACGCCAAGTTGAATTTTCGTGCCCATTGTTCTTGCCATTTATTATTCCCTTTCGGTGGACGAATGAAGTGTATGGGAATCGTTAATCTGAGGAGCGCAAAAGTTCTGCATTCTAATTGAGCGCCCTTTACCGTGCCGCACAGAGACCGAGGTAGCACGAGCACCCGGCCATACCCAGCCCGCATGCGTCACACGCTCGGGTTTCTGGTTAAAAAAAACGAAGAAGTTCTCTGGGATTTCTGTATGGTTTGGGAACGCCATATAGATGAGGTTGGCTGTGAAACGTCACGTGCCTTAGGGTAGTTAGGAAAATTGGGAAACAGAAAAACAGGATTGCAAAGGAGTTCATTGATTATGATTTACAAAATGTATGTGCGGCCTACTATGGAATTCGGGTGCGTATTATTTTCTGGCAGCGCGGCATACAAGATGAGAAAGTTAATATTATTAGAAGGAGAAACTTTGCGCTTGTGTCTAGGACTTCCAATTTTGTGGCAAATAATGTTATGTATATGGAAGGACGTCTTCCACCTTCGTTAACTCGGTTTAAAATACTTACAGTTCAAACTTCCTTAAAAATGTACGATTCGCCTCTAAGAGAAGTGTCTTACGTTTTTATTTAGAAACCGACCGCATTCTTCAGAACACAATGTGCTAGACTACACCCCCCTCAGATTAGGTTCGTCCAAACGCTGCTAGAACCTCTGAATGTAAACATTTATCAGATTGCCTTAACGAAGATGCCGAATTCAAAACTTGAAATTAAATTTGATGATATCTTCCCTTCTATTGCGAAACAACGGCCCCTTCAATATTTAAATAATCAGTTACAAGAATACTTGACTCATCTATCCATAAACAACGTTATTGCGACGGACGCATCCGTAAAAAACGAAAAAGCTGGAGTAGGCATCTTCTGTACTTCTCTCGACTGGTCTTTTTCAGTTCGATTACCACATTACACGCCAATATTCATCGCTGAATTATTTGCTATATTTCTAGCACTTCGTAAACTTCCTGCAAGCGAGTCAGAAGCAGAAATACTTACTGATTCTCTCTCAGTATGCACTGCACTATCTACAGCAAGAAACTTGACCTTATCGAGTATGATTAGTAGTTTATTACCAGCAAAACCTGAAAAAATTCTACTTTCTATGGGTACCTGGCCACTGCGGAATTTATCCAAATGAGATGGCAGACTCATTAGCCAAAGCATCTTTAAGCGGACCACTCTTACCTATTTTACCTGATTTGGCCTATGTAACAGTAATCAGATATAGAAGTGCTTGTTTGCACAAGGAAATAGAAAAATGATCATTGGATAAAGTCCGAGACTTCGTACATCTAAGATTTCGCTGGACCAAACAGTGGTGTGTATCTCGGCAGTAAGAAATTACAATCCCCAGATTACGATGCAGAATATGGCACCTGAATTATTACCCACATAAAGCTGGACTCACAGCATCTCTGTTATGTCTCTTCGCAAGGAATCAGAATCAATAGATCATTTCTTTTTATCCTGTCACCAATATTTATACCAATATTCTTATCGAAGGAAAATATACCTGGTCGAACCAATTGAGAAGCTAGGGTTAAAAATAAACGTGGCAGTAATTTTATCCTCCGGAGGGATTACATTAGGTTATAGCCACAGGGAGGTTTGCTCCGCCGCATGTGCGTACATAATGGCAACAAAAAGGTTACCTTGTTAGTCTATTGTTATTATTATTACCGGCTACGAGACTACCTGAATGCCTGACTCTTAACTAACTGGCAACAAAAAGGTTACTTTGTTAGTCTATTGTTATTATTATTACCGGCTACGAGACTACCTGAATGCCTGACTCGTAACTAACTCACTCGATGATCATGTCGCCCGGTTCTTGGCCTATCCCTTTTTGTGGGCGAGTGCCAGCAAAGCTAAAGTTTTCTCACAGTTTCCTTAACTTGTGCGCACATGTTCGCTCCAATAAATATATCTATGTATGTATGTGTGTATGTATATATATATATATACATACACACACACACACACACACATATATATATATATATATATATATATATATATATATATATATATATATATATATATATATATATATATATATATATATATATATATATATATATGCGCCTGTGTGTGCCTATATTTTTAATGTTAAGCCTGGATACAAGTGTACGTAGCTTTTGCAGTGGGCGCAATCATAAATAAACAGACAGAAGAGCTGGTGAACAGCCTTGTAGACCTAGCATTTGCCGTTTTGTTCAGATTTGCTACTTTTATCTTGCTATTTTCCTCTACTTCTCCCTTCGTTCCTCTCATCTCTGTTTCTTCTATGTCTTAATTATCAGCTTGGTTTCATTCATTTATCAACGCTTCCCAGCCATGACACGTGACACAAACCAGCTGGTGAAGCGTGGCCCTCTCCCCTTCTATACATGTGGACGCATTGTGGCACACAACCACACTTTGAGCAGCACTGGCAGCAGATGGTTCATCGGAGCACCGTCTTATCTTCTTGCCAGTGCGCAGGTTAGTTACTGTTCTTTGCCCGTTATTAGTGTTTTGTAGCGCCGTAGCTGCTACTGCTGCCCTCGGATTTTGTTATATGTGTCTAGGAAAGCGCTAGAATGAGCAACATGTGTGAGACTTGTAAAGAGTACTTCTTTGAGGATTAGAATGTCATGAGTCACTCATGACATGCGCAGAATGTAGACAATGCTACACATCAGAGAATGTATTGGTATAAGTGAGCGCACCAATGAACAGAAAAACAAAGAGGCAAGGAAGGCGTTGAAATGTCAGACCTGCCATGTACCTTGATCTCAGAACAGCCAAATAAATAATAACGCTGGTCAATCAGCTTTAACTGAAGCCCTAAGCCAACAACTTGCGGAAATGAGCAAAGGCTTGGCACGCTTACCAGCCAAGGTTGAAGACCTTACAGAATTAAAACATATGGTGACTAGCATCAAAATTCCGTTCAGCACATCAAATACACGAGACAAGCTTCTTAAATTCAGCGCAAGGCACGATAAAAAAAAAGATAGAAAGCTTGCGCAACAGAATGGGAGCTGCTGAGCAAATCTTTGAAAAAACAAAAAGCTACCATGCTAAACCAAGAGCTCAATGACCTACAGCAGTACATTCGCCGCTAGAATCTGTGTGCTCCTAAGCACACAAATTCTGACGAATCTGCTCCCGCATCGAGGACTTCCAGAAAAACAACACACATATGCGCGAAGTAGTCCTTCATCTAGAATACCCGTCAGCTATCATTGATGACGCAATCAAAGAAGCGGTAAATCTGGACCGCCAGGCTCTACTACACCACCAAAAAGATGCCGACGAGCACCGTAACAAAAATTTGCTATTAACTTTCATGAGCAACCCACTTAACATAAACAAGTTCCTAAGAAAACACTAACGAATTGGAACAGATCGTGCGAGTTTCCAAAATTTTCACTTCCCCTCTTTGTTTGGTATACAGGTGGCCGAAAAGTATAAGGGAT